CATGTTGTCGACAAAGATGTTGAACAGAAATCAGTTTGGGTTGTTTAGACTGCAAAGTTGTTGGGAAAGGGTGAAGGTTCTGCGCGGGGAAGCAAGCGGCTGACTCCGAGTGAGTGATACAGCAAGCTCCAACTTTATTGTCCGACAGGCTCTTTCTTGTACAATACAGCACAGGCATATAACTATCAATCATTTATAATTGGCTAAGCTCTAAAGATAGCATTCAGGTACTCTCCCTACTTGCAGCTGCAGCTGTGAGGATTATCTCTTGCTTTCCCAGGCTTGGGTGCATTCCTAGCTGTTTGTCTCGAACTTGTTTGTCTCACCCTCAAGGATGACTTACCCCTGCCATCTGCCATGTTGAGTTACTCCCTATCTATATATAAGTTACTATCTCCAGAGCCTTGCTTGTACACTGCATTCCCAGGTGCGTTTCCAGGACTGTGTCCGTGCGTTCCGAGGGGACTGTGGCCTTGCTCTTTTTAGCTTTCCCCAGGTGCATACCCAGGTTCATGTCCCGCCGTTCTCCAACACAAAGTTTGCTTTAAGGCTGTCTTATTTTACTTTGAAGCCTCAGAGTTACATTTTCTTAATGCTAATTTGTAGGAAATTTATGCTGTGAGACGTGTTGTCAGTGTAAAAAGCTGATTTGTAATAGGTGCCTCTCAGTTCTGCGATCATTATTTTTAATAGGGTACCATGGGTAACATGAAAAATAATGAGTGGGATCGTCCCCATTTTATTCTGTATAATTCAGAGAAAAACCCCTGTGCCACACGTGAACTGATTGGAAAGAGATGTAGTTTTTGAGCGTGTTTTCAATGGAAGTTATCAACCTAACCTCATCTATCCCCTGCCTTCCCCTGAATCAGGTCTCCCCAGTGGTTTTCTTCCGGTCATTTCAAAAACACTATTCCCTTAGGCTCTTGGTCTTGGGAAGCCATTCATTTTCTAGGATTCCTTTGGGAAACCATCCTAACTCTGGTGCTGGACGTTCCCAGAAGACGTTGACACATTGTCTCTCAGAATGGGTAACGTGCAGTGAAGTGCTGAAACCCTAAAAGAGCTGTTTATTTAGACTTCAGACTGGTTCCTGATACTTGACTTGAGGATCAGTTTTGTAGTCTTGGATCTTTACTTGAAGTTGCAGTTACCTTTTGTCTTGAGCAGAGAATACTTATCAGAGGTTTTAAGCTTTAGATTTCACATCTAACTTGGTATCTTGCTTCTTGCTTTTTGGAGGATGTGGTGGTGAGCTCCAGAGGAGCTTGTTTTAGTTCACATCCATAAAACATGTAGCTTCAAGAAGGTGTCTTGGCCTGGAAATCTGTTAATCTTTCAATTAAGAAAAGCTTCCCCTATCTTCTTCAGTAAATTGTTATTTGGGGTTCATTGAGGCATGTTTTTAAATGTTCTGAAGTAAACAGGAGCAGCTGCATGTGTGAGGACAGCAGCCACATGCAGTTATTTCTGTGACCAAGGAAAGACATCTGGGACGTCGAGTCCATGCTGATGTAGATCTTTGTACTCTTGCATTGCTAACTCACAGGTCACATCTTCATGTTTGAAACATTGTGGTGTAGACTATGGAAAAATAGATTCCTTTGTCTTATTTAATAGACCAAGTAGCTTTTTATCCCTAACTATATTTCACTTAATTAGATACTGCCTGGAAATCTGAGGTGGATTGTCCAGCCTTGTGCCCAGAGGTGTCAGCCAGGACACTGCTGTGCTGAGCGAGCTGACTGCTTTTCGAGGGGATAGAAATTGCTAATGAAAGTCTTTTGCAGGTGTAAGAATTCTCTTACTGATATATTACTGCCTTCTCTTATCCTTTATTCATTGTATTAATGATTCCTTCTCAATCTTTGTTTTACAGATTGAGGAAAGGCCAGAAAAAGACTTTGAGAAGGTAAGAAGTATCTTATAAATTATTCTGACAAGAGTACTTTCCTCATTCCTTTTGGTAGGTAGAACTTGCCTCGAGCAAACAGAAATCTTCTATAAAAGCCATTGTGGGGCAAAAATTTGAAGTGCCAGAGCCTTCTACTACTCTATTTTTGAAGATGAACTTTTCAGCCTCTGCTCACACAGATGTTAGGTAGCTGACCTTCAACTGCACTTGGCTGAAACTGCTTTGGGCTAAGTCACATGAATAGTGTGTGTTTATTAGCTCTTAATTATGGTGTTATGTAAAAGTAAGTAAATCATAGTGATAAAAGAGGAGGCCTCTGTGAGACTCCACCCCACCTGGATTACTGTGTGCAGTTTGGGTGTCCTCAGCATAAGAAGGACATGGAACTGTTGGAGCAAGTCCAGAGGAGGCCACAAAGTTAGTAAAAGGACTGGAGCATCTCCCAACTTTTCAGTATCTGAAGGACCTACAAGGAGCCGGAGAGGGACTCTGTGTTAGGAACTGCAGTGACAGGACAAGGGGTAATGGGTTCAAACTGAAGGAGGGAAAGTCTAGGTTGGATGTGAGAAAAAAGATTTGTTCCTCTGAGGGTGGTGAGACACTGGCATAGGTTGCCCAGGGACGTGGTGGCTGCCCTGACCCTGGCAGTGTTCAAGGCCAGGCTGGATGAGGCCTTGAGCAACCTGATCTAGTGAGGAGGTGTCCCAGTAGAATTCTATGATTCTACTGCAGTAGTGAGAAATTGGCTTAATGCAGAATTCTCTGTGTAATAAAACAGTTCATGTGGCTACTGCTGTAGAGTAGGTAAATGTCCATGAAAGGAGAGGAGCTTGAGAGCTAGTCCAAAGCTTCCACGAAATGTAATATTGCAAGTTTTGAAAATGTCTGATGAGATGATACTCACCTCTACAGACTTTAAGAATTAATGGTTAGAAGCTAAATTATGCAAACTCCTATTGCAATAGTATTTAAATACATCTGATCTGCCTTTTCTCATTAGTTTCCCTTGTTGAATCTTGATTTTGATGTTTTTCTCCTTAGGAATTTGCATTTTAATTAACTGCATATTTTAGAAGTGCAGAAGAGGTTGGTGTAATATGTCTGCTTAAAAAAAAAAAAGGGAAAAAGCTACAAACCCATAATGTGCCTGGAGTAAAACGTTCTAACCATGTTTCCTTGTGTGTGATTCTAGGGAGCACGGACTGTCTCAAGTTTATCAGCAGCTACCTTGGCTTCTCTGGGTGGGACTTCTTCACGGAGAGGCAGTGGGGACACATCCATCTCGGCCGACACAGAGGCATCTATTAGAGAAATAAAGGTGAGAAATACTTAAGCCCAACAAAAATTATTAAGTGTTACCTTCAGGCTCCTTCAGGAAGAAGAAACTGGCTTGCGTCTCCCTCATGGCAGTTCTGACAATAAACTGGGTGCTGTGAATGAGAGAAGTGAACAGCTTTGGTGGAGATGCTGCAGGGATCTGCTGTGCATTGCAGGAGACTGGCTGTAATAGACACGTCTCATCCTGAACTAGGGAATGGTCTCAACAGAGCCCACTGATAGGAGGGTGGAAATGAGGCAAGAAGCTCTGCACTCACTGGACAAAAGTGGAGAAAGACTGTGACAGAGGCAGGTCATCAGTGAAAGGGGTAGAGAAGTGTTGTGAGCTGGAGTGTGATTGTTGGAGCCATTGAATCTAGATCTGCATCTTATCCTTAACGTTGAAGATGATGTTTTTTCCGGTCGAGAAAAGCTGAATTAGCATAAACTTCTGAACCAAGAAATTTGGTTGTCTGGCAAGGCTTCAGCTTAGGATCAGGCCCCTTAACCTGTGTGGGAGAGATATTTAAACCCTGAATACTTGCGAGTCCCTACTGGCTGCATTTCTGCCTGTTAGTTTGTGTGTCATCACTCACCTTTCTCACTGTTTCTCTCAGGATATCTATGAGTTAAAGGACCAGATTCAAGATGTAGAAGGCAAATACATGCAGGGACTTAAAGAACTGAAGGTACTGGTTTGCTGCAGACTGGGAGTGTGATCATTAACACTGGCTAAGCATTCAGAGCCTCAGTGTGAGCCCTAGGGCTGACCTTGCATGCAGTTCTTCTGGAGAGGTTGGAAACTGTGTGGGAAGTGTTTTATTAACTGATCTTGATTGGTTGTGCTGAGAAATGCTGCCAACTGTTAACAGAAAGGCTGCTGATTGCTGTTGCATGTTGTCTTTCTTGGGTTGAGGAGGCAAACATTTTGCTAGCAAATTAAAATTATTAGTGTTTTACTTTTAGATAGTTTCCTAATCCAGGATACCTTCCAGTATTGGAAGATGAACTAGAACTCATGTCCTGCAGTGCTATGAAAAGTCCAGAGTTCAGAAGTTTGTGTGGTTTTGTTTGTGCAAGGTGGTGACTGTCATTTTGGTTTCATGTTTTGGTGAGAGAAGACACCTTTAAACAATTCTTTTAACAAAACTGTGTTACAAAGCTTGTTATGTGAAGAATGAACGCTGGCAGCAGTTGGCAGTGAAGAAGCTTTTACCACTTCTGTGAACCCACAAACCTATAAACCCATTGTGAGAAACTCACCATGAGCTGCAGGGTGTGCTGGCAGCCCAGAAAGCCAATCCAATCCTGGGCTGCATCCAAAGGAGTGTGGGCAGCAGGTCAAAAGAGGTGATTCTGCCCCTCTACTCTGCTCTCATGAGATACACCTGGAATACTGCACACAGTTCTGGTGTCCTCAACAGAAGAAGGACATGGAACTGTTGGAGCAAGTCCAGAGGAGGCCACAAAGTTGCTAAGAGGACTGGAGCATGTCCCCTATGAGGACAGGCTGAGGGAGTTGGGGCTGTTCAGCCTGGAGAATAGAAGACTGTGTGGAGACCTCAGAGCAACTTTTCAATATCTGAAGGGCCTAACAAAGGAGTGAGAGAGGGACTTTGTGTTAGGAACTGCAGTGACAGGAAAAGGGGTAATGGATTCAAACTGAAGGAGGGAAAGTCTAGGGTGGATATGAGAAAAGAGTTTGTTACTCTAAGGGTGGTGAGACACTGGCACAGGTTGCCCAGGGATGTGGTGGCTGCCCTGACCCTGGCAGTGTTCAAGGCCAGGCTGGATGAAGCCTTGAGCAACCTGATCTAGTGAGGAGGTGTCCCTGCCCATGGCAGGGGAGTGGGACTAGATGATCTGTAAGGTCCATTCCAAACCCTAAAATTCTATGATTCTATGATAAACAGATTTTGGTGCAATAGCTAACTTGTGCATCCGTGTCCCTCTTCCTCCTAAGTGAGCAGCAACATGAGCTGGTTTTTTTTTGAAAAGGCAGTCTTACAAATAGACATTAAGGCACAAAATGCAACATTTATCAGCATTAATTGCTGATTGTATCATTGGCTCAACACTGACTGGCTTCCATCTCAATAGAGATGGCAATGGAAAAAGAGTAGTTAGGCCCTTTTTCTGTAAAATCTGGGGTTTTTTTCTGATCACTGAGGAGCAGGCTTAACAAAATAATCACACTGCTTTAAAAATGCATGTAAGTTTTCAATTCATGTCCCTTGGACTGCCTTTTGGGGTGATTTGTACCTAAGCTGCACTGCTTGATGCTAAGAGAATAAAACAGCATGCTGGAGTGGAACGGCAACTACCTTAACTTCCTCCTTGCATATACTTCCTTTCCAGCTCATTTCTGAGATTTGATCCTACCACAGTTTCCAAATCCTTGTGGCTTTCCTGTACTTGGTATTTCTCACCCTTGGGCTGGAAAGTGCACCAAAATGCAGTTAGAGTTTAAAGATTATCCAAATTTAGGTTGGACTCAGTGATCTCAGAAGTCTTTTCCAACCTAATTGATTCTGTGTTTTTGTGAAATTCATGTCCCTAAAGACAAATAATCTCATTTGTCAATGGAAATGTAAACTAAAGTGGTGCAGACTATGTTGCTATCATCCTCAGCTCCATTTACTGACAGAAAAAGGAAGTATATGAAACTCACCTGTGCTTTAGATGTAATTATTGAAATTACTCAGGTTCCAAGAGAAATCGTTTGATCTGCAAACTAAAACCTTGGCCTGCAGATCATCTTTGCTTGCATATTTACACCATTTTGTTTATGTAGTTCTTTTATTTCAGTATTAAAGTCAAATAGTGCAGTTTGTCTGCACAGCAAGGAAAATGATGCTAATCTTTATTTTGCCATCATTTGTTGCTATAAGTATCTCAATATCTAACATTCTGGTCAAGCTGATAGGAAGGGTTTTCAAGATCCTGGGTGAGTAAAGATCTTATAGAGTAAATTGATAAAGAAGGGATGTGATATAGGAAACCTAATGGAAAATGAAGCATAAAGTCACAAAAGCTGCAGCTTTTCCACGAAGAATTCTGATTCCCGATTCAGGGTTCCCACGCTCAAGGATCCCTGAAATTAGTGTGAAGTAGCTGTCAAACTGCTTTAATTTAACGCCTGAGATTATGTTCAATCTTGAGTGATCTTAAATCGAGGCCAGTTTACCTTTAAAAAAAAAAATCCCAACATGTCATCTTCAGCAGCTGCTTTGAGCTGCCAATGTGCAGTAGCAGGGGGAGGAGGGAGAAGGAAGAAAACTGAGAATGCAGAAGCTGAAGCAGCAGAGAACAGGAAGCATTTTATCCATCCTGAGGTAAGGTTCCTTGCTTGTAAACACAAGTGTGGTGGGAACACGGGAGGTTATCCTCACCGTGGGACAGGTGGGAAGTCTCCAGCACAGGGTGAGCGCTGGTTTCCGTAGGTAGACTTAGTGTGCCTGTGGTTTGGTACTTTATTTTCTCATGGAATGTCTTGTTTGGGAATGTGCCTTTTATTTCTGTCTCTGACTGGGGTTGCTTATTCTTTGCAGGACTCTCTAGCTGAAGTTGAAGAGAAATACAAAAAGGCTATGGTGTCAAATGCTCAACTAGACAATGAAAAAACCCATTTAATGTACCAAATAGATACCCTGAAGGATGTGCTCTTTGAGTTAGAAGAACAGCTGGCAGAATCCAGGAGGCAATATGAAGAAAAAAGTAAAGTATGTATATAGCAGTGGCATAGTAAGTATCAGGAGAAGATTTGGAAGTGAGTAGGGATTTTTGTGAGGAGGCAACCAAATTACTACTCAAGTTTTTGAATAAGCTACTCGTTTAATTACTGTTAAGTAGAATAGCAGCATATTATGATCTTACAAATGGGAGTTTTCCATAAGTCTCTCTCTCATAAAGCAATTTCTGAAGAAGGGGAGAAGTGTTTTAGCTGGTAAAGGCTTTATTGATGTTATCACATCTCTCTTTATACTCTGTCTTTGAGATGAATTCAGAGAGTTTATCCCTAGTGACATCAGGAGCATTTTTACACACAGGCATTTTACTCCAGACATCCTGTGGGAGAGTTATGCAGTTCAGGTGGTTCAGGTAGCTATGTGGTTAAGTGTTGAATTAAGTTTCACATGAATGCAGCAGCTGACAGTTGTTAAAGAACAAAACTGAGGCTTGTGTTAGTTTTTCAGAACTGGCTTTTTGTAGCTTGGGCCATTTAACTACAGTGCACTTGGAAAAAACACACATAGGTCCTGGTAGATACGGTGTGTTTTTTTCTTTTCATTTGAAAGTCCAGCTAGTATATGGCCATGTGGAAAGAATGGGTTAAATTCCCACCCAGTCATCTGTGAAGCCTGTAGGGCTGGAGTGTAAAAGCTCCTCACTGCCAGCCTGCTGCTCAACTTATGAAACGGCCTAAATGATGTCTGTCACTTCTGTATTTGGTGCAGTAATAGTGTCTTGGAAGAAGGTCAGATAAGATAAAAATTGTGCTCTCGTGGGGTTGTGATTAGAGGGATATTCAAGAATTAGATTGCAGTAAGCATTTTCTTTGTGTTTGGGCTTATTTTTCCCTTTTTTATGGGAAGCTATTTTTGATTAATAATAATGTCATGAATGTTCCATTATTCACAGGAATTTGAGAGGGAGAAGCATGCTCATAGCATACTGCAGTTCCAGTTCATGGAAATCAAAGAGGCTTTGAAGCAAAGAGAAGAAATGCTTGCAGTAAGTATTTTTGCTATGTTGCCAGTTAGCAGTAGAAGTGGAGAAGGTGAGACAGGGAGAATTTTAGTCCCTGCTCAAGTTCCTCACCTGAAGAAATAGTGTTTCATGCTGAACAGGTTTAGAGCTGACTAATGGAACTTTCCTAAGTATTATATTTTGGACAGCTGTTTGTGGAGATGCAGAGGGAAATAACGGAACTGTCTAACTTGTCATCTCATGGATAATAAGATTGTCTTCAGGAGCACAGTTTCAGCTGAGATGTCAGAAACTGTGCATGTAGACTCTCTTTTACTTTAGCACCTGACTTTTTTCATTCTTTGGCATCACTGCAATCTTTGACCTTCTTTGTTAACTTATTACCTGCTTTCTGTCTTCTTGTTTTGCTCCTGTCCCTCAGGAAATCCAACAGCTGCAACAGAAACAGCAGAGCTATGTCAGGGAAATTTCCGATCTTCAGGAGACAATAGAGTGGAAAGACAAAAAAATAGGGGTAGGACTTGTTGACTCCTGCAGTGTGTTCAGAGTGGCACTGTCATGCTCCACCTGATTCTGCTTTTGCAAAGCCCCATGAATAAAACCCTCTAAGTGCCTTTGCTTGGTGTGGCTGTCTTAGAGTATTGCCAGTGAACTAGCAAATAGCCAGTTTTGTCTTTGGCCAGTGTCACCAAATCCAAGAAAAATCTAGCAGCTGGTCTGATGTCAAACCAAGGTTGATTTCCATGCTGTGGTGCACCATTTGTATTTGCCATATGGAGAAAGGAAGTGCTATTTATATTGCAATTCCATCAGCATTGAGTTTTTGCTTATTCACATTTAATCTGCTGACTGAGCAGAAACTGGAGGGAGATGAAGAGGTAATAGAGCTATTTATAGACTATTGGGATGAAAGTCTCCCTTGCTTCTCATCCCTTCCCACCATCCTTTATCAAAGCCAAATGGAAACACTTACCTTCCTTTTCTAACTGAGCATGGTAAGATTTTCTGGATGTAGAAGGAGAGAGAAATCCAGCAGCTTGCCCATTCTTGTGATGCCCAATAATTTGTAGCAGCTCAAAACTGAAAATTGTCTCCATTTTTTATATGGTTCTATCTGTACTTCCATGGAAATACTGTAGGGGGGAGACAGTGTTCAATAGCAAAATTTGCATTTGCACATGGTGCATCCCAGACTAAGGATGAGTTAATGGCAGCTTGCAAAATAATTGCAATGTACTGCATCCACGATGGCAACCCATGGAATAAAAAAGACTCCAGCAATCTGGTGGTCCTGCTTCTTGTTAACATGTGGGAATGGCACTGTGTCTGCCGTGTGCGTGCTGAAGCCATCTGGGTATGGATTAACTTGTCTAGCAGATACAAATTTGAAGGATCCTGATGAAGGATTGGGCTCTGAATGCCTTTAGTAGGAATTCCTGGTTATTGAATAAGCTGTGCATTTCTTGGATTTGAAGTTTATCTCTGTATGTAAACTCGGACCTTTAATCTGTAAACTTGACCTTTTCCATCCATGCCCCTTCCATCAATCTCCGAGTATCTTAGGTCTACTTATTCTTGTTTACACTTGCTTTTCATGGCCTTCACTTGTCTCTCTTCCTTTCTTCACACCTCCTTGCCCTCTCTGTGTTGGGAACTCAGGCACTAGAGAGGCAGAAAGATTTCTTTGATTCCATAAGGAGTGAGCGGGATGACCTTAGAGATGAAGTGGTTGTGCTGAAGGAGCAGCTGAAGGTATGCAAGAGGAGTAAAAGAAATCTGTGTTC